AGCCGTTTGTATTAGAAACTTTCACAAGATGTTGAAAATTCTATACCAATTTAAAAAATATATAAAATTTTATCAGAGGCAACCAGCTAAGGAAAATAGGAAATAAAAAATAAATAAAAAAAGTTTTATTGATGTTATATATTTAACTTACGTTACATCACTTACGTTACCGAGTGATTATTATTGTGGATTTTTTATAAATATTATAAAGAGTTAGAGTTACGTAACAAAAGTATTAATAAAGTATTAAACTCATTCATTGAAAATTATTAGCAAAGGAAATTTTTAAATACTGGTGGCACTTTTCTTGAGTGATTTTTCATAACATTTATTAAAGTTATCAAATCAAAAACAGTTTTTCCGCAAGACCAACACTTTAAAAAATTGTTTTAGTATATCAACTTTATTGAATCATTTAAATAATTAAATCTTTGGTTTGTCGCAGTTTTTACTTATACTTCTTATATTTTTACATATTGCCTTATTTTTATTAGGATGAATTTAATTACATTTGAATCTTTTAAAATATTTTTGACATAAAAACTGTTATCACAGTCTAGGAGGGAAGGGGTTAAGAACTGACAAATATAGGGTGACGTTCTTTATGGATGACCCCTCTTAATTGCATTTACAAACGATTTGTTTTACTAAAACAAAAATAAAAAAAGTTCTAACTGATTTTATTTATATTAGGAGAATAGCAAATAAATTTTTTTTTTTTTTGAATGTCTAAATAAAAATATTTATTAATTAATATTTTTATTTATGTATATTCATATGTCAACCAAAATAAGAATACATAAACAAATAAAAAAAGGTCCTCTAAAGCCTCTGAACATGCGCCCCATTTTTTAAGTATGATTTCTTTAGTTTTTTTTTTTATTATTATTACAATAAGCTAAGAAACATTACTCAAAAAAGGTTTTGATTTGTTTTTAGTTGCTTCCAGTTGTATTGCTGAAGTTTTGACACTGTTTTATAAAAGTATTAATTAAAATTTGTTAGCAATCACCATCACAGTGAAGATATACCAAAGAAAAGTTCACATATTTAGGATAAGACTAGAAGCAATATTAGTAGTACCCTTAGAAGTAGTATTAGTACCCCTAGCTCACATAAAGCAACTCCAGGCAAACCTGTGACAAAAAATTAACAGATTTCTTTGGTCATTCTTTGACATCAATTAATGGAGTCAAACTGCCTAATTGTAGGTAAATTAGGTAAATTATGAAGCTTGTTCTACAGTTGATGCTGTCATTTTGTTTTGAAATATGGCACATATAAAAACTTAAGCAAGACAGAATTGCATGATTAATGTATTGAAACTTTGGAATGAATGGTAGAGTTTGATGAAAAAAAAATAAGGAAAAACAACTGACCCTATATGAAGATATAAAGAAGATATAGATATAAAAAATCTATAAGAATACCATGCATGGACCGGCATGATAAAATATTTGAAACCAAAGTTGAAATGAAATTTGCAAGTCAACTAAGTGATGCAAGAATAAAGATAGTGAACAGTGCAGCTTAGAAATGTTAAGAGAAGAACAGGTCGAAGGAGTTGCAACTTTGCTAGAAGACGGTTTGGAACACAATTAAACAAGGAAGATGACCAAATTGAAACTGGTCTTGTCTTTGAAATAAATCTGGAACAAGAAAACATAAAAACAGATCAAGACAATTTTGTAACTCTATCTAAGAAAATGTGACCAGATAACCAGTGCTGCTGATTGTCTCAAGCTTTTAGAAAATCAAACAACAATGAATATATCTGCAGCAATAAAAGCTGCTGCAGATAATCATGAAAAGTATGATATTTCACAATCTACAACTAGATGAAAAAGAATGTTTAATCATCAACAGGTTGCAGGAAAGTGTCATGGAAACAATAAAAAAGAACTCTCCCCAAAATGGCTCATTGCATTGAGATGGTAACCTTTTAAAAGATATGCTGGGAGATACATACGAGAAGCTTGCAATACTTTTTTCAGGGGCTCCTCAATACAAGGATGAAAAATTACTAGGTGTCTCTTTCTCTAGCTAACTCACCAGAAGCAACTCAGGCTGAAGCAATGCTTGATCAGCTAGAAGTTTGGGATCTTTCAGACAGACTTGTAGCTCTAGTATTTAACACAATAGCCAGCAATAATAATATACATAAAGGAGTTGCTAAACTAGTGGAAGCATGTCTAGATAGAAATTTATTCCACCTAGCTTGTTTTCATCATATTTTAGAACTTGTTGTTGGTGCTGTATGGAAGTTGTTATTTGGAAACATTTAGGCTTTGAAAACAAACTGTTTAAAAAATTTAAAGATACATGGTCAAATTTGGATATAAATCAACCAATTCAAGTACTGGAAACTGAAAACAAATGGTTGCTGAGCATAAAACATAAAGTTGTCAAAGAACTTACAGACATGGTATCTTGTAATGAATAAACAACTTTTCAAGAGATGATTATTGTGAATCTGCTGAAAATGCTCTGATAATCTTGGGTGAAATTCTCCCACGGGGTGCCCACTTTCTTACCGAGGACTATGCATCAGGCATGTATGTTCAAATACTAGAAAGCCTTTCAAAATCTTCAAAAAAATTGGTTGTGACACTACTTTGACAAATCTGATTGTACCATTACAAATTTTAAATGTAACATTAACGTGGGTTTTGTATATATGATTAATTTTATGTTAAATATATGACTTTAGACAAAGTCTGTTGTTTCATGTATAGTATTTTAACACTTTATATATGTAAAAGATTTATATATGTATATCTATATATTATATATTTATATATATATATTTATATAAACATATTTATATATATATATTTATATAAACATATTTATATATATATATTTATATAAACATATTTATATAAACATATATATATATATATATATATATATATATATATATATATATATATATATATATATATATATATATATATATATATATATGTATATATATTGTCGTCAACAGATCAATGTTTAAAACAACATGTTTACATCAGAGGCATAAAAAACAGTTCTACTTCAATGTAACAATAAATAAATACAATAAGGTAAAAAGATTACAAAAGATTATTAAAAACTTCTTTTTTAATTTCATTACTTTTTTATTTAGTTGTCGTGATTTATATATTTTGTTTTAATCTAAAAAGCTCAAAAAAAGACTTGGATGAACATTACTAATATTAAGTTTGATATTAATAAGATTTAGCTTTTTGTTTGCACCAGCAAAAAGTATGATATTTAAAGATTATTGTGCTATATATTAACACACTATGATCCCAACCTTTATTATTAAAATATATCTGTGTTAACAATTATTTTACCAAATTAGTTAATATATAGTGTTAAAACAGTACTATTTGTCCAATATGTTGGCATGCAATACATGCAACCTTATGAGTTGAAAGAGGAATAATGCATTATCTTTGTAAAATGACAGAAGAAGAGTTGTTTGCTGAGGAAAATAAAGATTAGATGACTCAAACTTTAAGTGTCTGAAATAATTCAAGTTTTATTGGGAAAAAAACAGTTTTAAGAAAAAAAATAATTAACAAGATAAAGTTGAATTAATGGTAACAGGGATTGTTAGTTAAAAAGAAACAAGTAAAAAGAAATACACTTGATATTGATTGTTTTTTCGATGTTTGATTTTAACTTGCATTGCTTATGAAGCTGGTAAAACTTAATTTAAAAGAATTCAACCCAGATAAAAATGTGATTTTTTTTTTGAAAAACACTTTTTAGCTGTTATAGTGGATCCAGGACATTTTTAAGTATTTTAAAGAAATGTTTTTATCACCTTGTGCAACACTTGCTCTATAACTATGCTTTATTGAGTAATCATTTGTGTATTGTATACTCTTTGTAATGTTGTGTCACCGTGACTCTAAAATAGTAGTAATGTATTGGCAATAAATTCAAATTTGGTAAGGTTGCTAGTAAATTACATTGAATTATTGATAATAAAATTAGTTATTATTATTTCTGTAGTTATAATAAATGGCAGAATTTATATTAACTGAAAGAAAAAAAACAGCTGTTTTTTTTCTTTCAGTTAATATAAATTCACTTAATATAAACTTGCACTTAAGTCTTTAACCTATGTATTGTAATCCATACTCAAGTATTTCTAATCCTATTTTTGTTAACAAAATCAGAAGTACTAATGAAATCCATTTTTTTTCAGAAAGTTTCAAATCTCAGTTGTTTACAAAAACTTAAATGATTTAGTGAGAGGTTAGTGATTGACTAAAGAAAAAACAGAATTGTTTGGTTTTAGACTGAAAGATATTTATTGAAGTTTGGTATTCATCATTAGAGAACTAGAAATCAACAGCATGCTTAATTTCATCAAAAACTAGTTTCAAAGGCATTTTGTACACAATAGATATGCTTTATTGCCTCATTCAGTCCATAAGAAGGTCTACAAGATCTACAAAAAGGTCTACAAGATCTAGAAAAAGGTCTACAGAATCTTCAAAAAGGTCTGCAAGATCTACTAGGAGCATAATTACTGAAAACTAGATACGCAGCTTACGATTGTATGGACAATTAAAATATAAAAAATAAGCACCTAAAATATTGGTATTTTAATAATGATGTTGTAAAACTTATAACAGTAATATTAAATTATACTAAAAAAAATTTATTTTAATTTTTTGCGCAATAAATATCAAATTTTTCTTAATTTGAATTATACATTCAATATCATTGTCAAAGAGTTTGTTTTTTTTCATGTAGTTTTTGATACTTTGTAAATTATCTATATTTACTGTTTAAATCTATTTAAATGATATCTATAAAAATACAAACATAAAAATTAAAAAAAAAAAAACTCTAATATTGAAAACTGATTTAAATGTTTTAACAGAAAATATTTTTTTCAATTTTTTTAACAGAAATTTTTTTTTCAAAACTTGCAAAGAAAAAAATTGGCTTTTTTTTTTAAGTTTTGCTTGAAAAAAACTTTTCAATTTAAGGTGCTACACCAGTTGATGAATTAAAAATATTACAGACGCAAATCCAACTGCTACATATTCAGCTCTTATATGAGAGACATAAATGTGAACTTCATTGTCTTAGAAACAGACGCTTGTTTGGAAATGTGCAAAAATCAGAAGGGCTACAACGTGAAATTGAACTACTGGTAAGTTTAATATTTTAAACCCTATTTCTTCTTTAGATTTTTATTTAAAGTATTTTAACTAAAACATATTTTTTCCAAATTTTTGCCACAGTATTTTACCGCACTTTTTATATATATATATTTATATGTATATTTATTTATATATATATATATATATGTATGTATATATATATAAATATATATATAAATATATATATATATATATATATATATATATATATATATATATATATATATATATATATATATATATACATACATACATATATATAAATACTAGGTTGGTTGAAAAGTTCGCGGAGCGGAAATGAAAAAACAATTTTATGATTCAAAAAATGACTTTATTCTTCAGTATATTCTCCCTTAAGAGCAATACACTTTTTCCAACGATTCTCCAATTCATGTATCCCATCTCTGAAGTGCGATTCCGGAAGGCCTTCAAAATACCCATTTACGGCTGCAATGACTTCTTCATGTGATGAGAAACGCTTTCCACGTAGAAATTTTTTGAGATGTGGAAAGAGGTGAAAGTCGGACGGAGCCAGATCTGGTGAATAGGGTGGATGTTCCAAGCGTTCGTACTTTAATTCGACCAATTTCGCCTTTGCAACATCGCTGATATGAGCAGGTGCGTTGTCCTGGTGATAAATGATTTTTTTATGCAACAAACCAGGTCTTTTCTCACGAATTTTTTTATCCAACTGGTCCAAAAGATTTTTATAATATTCACCTGTTATCGTTTTACCGGTTTGAAGGTAATCTATTAATAAAATTCCTTTCGCATCCCAAAAAACTGATGCCATAACCTTCTTTGACGATTTTGACGCCTTCACTTGCTTCGGAGCTGAACAACCGGGCTCTGTCCACTCTGCAGTTTGTTGTCGCAGCTTCGGATCATAGTGGTAAACCCAAGTCTCATCCATGGTTACGAATCGACGCACAAAATCTGTTTTATTCTTTTGAAAACGGGCCAAATGTTCTTGAGAAAGTTTTACTCGAGTGCGTTTCTGATCCAGAGTTAGCGAATGCGGCACCCATCTTGCCAACAGCTTTCTCAGACGTAATTCATCGTGCAAGATGTGTAATACCCGTTCATCTGAGATGCCCACAGCCTCAGCAATTTCACGTTTGGTCAATCGTCTATCATCCATAACCATGTCATGCACAGCATTAATCGTTTCTTCAGTAGTAGCACTTTTTGGACGTCCAGAGCGAGGGTCATCTTCAAGGCTTGAACGCCCACGTTGAAACTCCGCAGCCCATTTGCATACTGTTGTTTTTGAAGGAGCATCATCACCCAACACATTTACCATTTCATTATGAATTTCCATGGGCTTTAAACCTTTTTTCACAAAGAATTTTATTACAGCACGATGTTCAATATTTTCCATTTTAAAAAATACTATGACACGTCTAATTTCAATAGCTTGTAAACAAAGACTGAAATGACATATCGACTTGAAATTTTTTATGCGTTCATACGAAGAATGAATACGTTTAATACAGTTATAAATTTGTTTCTACTACTGCAACATAGGTGCCGCTCCGCGAACTTTTCAACCAACCTAGTATAGTATTTTATAGTAAACGATATAATTTTGAAAAAAAATTATATCGTTTCATATCTAAAATTGATTGAAGGTACACAAATCAATTTTTTTAATGCAAATTTTATTGCAAATTGTATAATTTTATGTCAACATTTTTAAGGTATGATAGAAATGTTAAATATTCTGTCAGATAATTGAGTTTGAGTACTTTTTTAGTAATTTTTGTAAAAACATAAAAATTTAAAAGTCATCTTCTAAAAGATTGCTTAAACTTCACTAAAATAAAAAGTTCATAAAGCTTTGAATATTTTTGAGCTGGATACAGATTTACTTTACATTCAGAATTATTGAAAGGAATAAAAATGTTTCAACTTGTTTCAAAGTTTCTCCATTGAATTATGTTTTTCTAAATTTTTTAGATGCTTTTTCTTTATGTTGAACTTTTTCATAATAAATTTTTCAATAGATAAATCAATAGATAAATCAAGTCTTTTTTAATAGATAAATCAAGTTTATGTGATTGTTTTATAAGTTTTTTTTTAACAATGCAACTTTCTTCTGATGTTGTTCTGCGTTATTTTTTTTTCTTCTAATTTCGAATACATTTAGTAGAGTGGCTCTTATTTTTAAATTTTAAAATATTTTGTTCTTCATCACTTATATTGTTACAATCATTAAAAAAATGCTCAACAAAAAAATTTCAGAGCATTGAAAAAATATTCAGTGGTGGTCCATGTATCATTTGCCTACCAGCTATTGTAGAGAAAAGAAGTGCTGTTGCCAGTTATTGTGAGAGAGGAGAGGCTGTTACCACAATTGATAAACTAGTGTAATTTGTTGTAAATTTTTTCTGATTAAAAATATTTAACATAAAAATATTTTTTTGTGATCATTGTTTTTCAAAAACAAGTTTAAACTAAAAAATTATTAAAAGTATTATTGATTATCTTATACTTTTTTGGAATTAGATGTGATTTAAGTATTGCGAGTTAATAGGTTTGCAAGGTTTGTTATTGAGTTCAATCTGGGAAATACTTATTATTCAACGGATAAGTATTTTTGACTAAAAAAATTTTTTGATTAAAAACCATGATAGAAGTAGACTGGGCCTAATCTATTAATCACAATTCAAATTCAATTCATTCAAAGAAGAGAAAGCTCTTTGTGAGCTTTGTGTTTTTTGGAATTTTGGCTTATATACATTACATGACTTACTTCCCCAAATGCAACATATGCTCCTTTATGTGGTTTAATTCTAAATAAACCCCCTCCATAAACTTAATCAAGCTGAGCAGTTTCCAAAACTACATTGAACAAGCTCTTAAATCTTGTAGGACTTCTTCCTCAACTTAATGGTTACATGTTTGCCAAAGACTCAAGGCCATAAAAATGAGGAGGAGCCAATGAAAAGTTGTAAGTACCAGGCTTATAAAAGAGAAACAGTTATATTATTTTGCAACTCCAAACATAATTATGTTTTTAAACAAACTTTAATTAATTTTTGGGTTTCTCAACCAAGAATCATGTTGTTGGCCATAATGAGATTTGACCAAAACTTCAAAACTGTTCAAGAGACTGTGATGAGTTTAAAAGTTTCTAATGACACACACAGAATCTAAAGTTTCTTTTGTGAAAGTATATAAAACACTGTTGATGTAAGATGAGAACAAGTTAAAAAAACAAATGAAAAGTTTTTTGTGAAAGAAAAAAAATGTATAATTTAAAATTTTATTTTGAAGATGTTCTTTTTAGATGCTCCTTTTATTTAAGAAAACTTATTTTTTCAAAGCAATTTTTTCATATATGCATAGCGTGCATATCTTTGCAAAATATAATGATAAATTTGCTAGTTCTATATGTTTCCGCAAATTTTACAAAAATAAAGAAAAAAACTTTAACTGATAAAAATGAGTATTAAAGATTATTTTAATTTCATGTTTATTTTTATCAATAAATGCACACTTATAAATATTAGTTAAATATAATTATTGTAAAGATATACAGAAAAGAATAGACCATTTTGTTTATGTTTTGTTATTTGACAGGTCTGTTACCTGAAAAAGTATTTAAAAAAATAAGTTTTACCACTCTATATGTTTAAACAATATAAAATTAAGTTTATGATCAAAACCATTAAATTTATTTGAGGAAACTTATTTATTTGAGGAAATTTGTTTGATTAAATTTTATTGTTTTTTTAAAAATTGCAATAATGTAAATAAAAGACTAAAAAGTTTTTAAAAACATAAAAAATGTTTTTATTTTAAAAAAAAAAAAAGATCAAATTTTTTTTTTAATGAATCCATACAATGGCTAACAAATAGGTAGAACATGAGAGGAGTGTTGCTACTTTGACTGACAAGTAGGTAAAACATATGAGAAGTGTTGCTACATCAACTAAAATATAGGTAGAACAAGTGAGGAGTGCTGCTACATCAACTGAGAGTTTAGTTTAGGCAGGACATCTATCAATTTTAAAAAAAATTTTATTTTGGTTTTCTAATTTTCTGCAACTTCCTGTTTTAGTATGTCATAAGTATTCATCTAATGCTGCATTTATATATGTGTGTGTATTTATACATACATATATATATATATATATATATATATATATATATATATATATATATATATATATATATATATACATAAAAATACATATATACATATACATGTAAAAATACATATATATATATATATATATATATATATATATATATATATATATATATACACACATAAAAATACATATATATACACATAAAAATACATATATATATATATATATATATATATACACATAAAAATACATATATATAAATAAACATATATTTACATACACACACACACTGTCCTCCAAAACATAAACAACCAATAAAAAATTCTATTTTTTTAACTTCAATTACTTAATACAACATTTTTTCTAAAAAACAAAATCAATTTGTTAAGATTGCACATGATGAAAAGATTTATACATAATACGACTACCTGAAAATTAACAAATGTGTTGTTTTACATGTATTGGTATTTTAATGTAAAAAATGTGTCCAAAACAATTTTTTAACTACTAAAAAAAATACTTAAATCATTAATTAATAGCATATCATTTACTTTTTAGAATTGTGGCACATCTTTTCAGCACAAACACAATGAGTTTATCAATTTTTTTCTTGTGTAAACCTATTCCACGTGGCTTCAATAGCTTTAAATAACTCATCAGCGTTTTTTGATGATCCTTTGTGTTTCAGAGAAATTTTAACTTGATGACATAAATTATCAATCAGATTGAGATCAGGTGAGCTGGCCACTTCATTACATCAATTTGATTTTTTCAAACCATTGTTTAATGAGACATGTGTTTTGTAGTTGTTATCTTGTTGAAATATACCTTAGAAAATATTATTATTAGCACGAGGGTAATAATCACCTTTTTCTAGAATAAAATGATAA